TTTATTATAATATTCATAAATTTTAAGACACAGAGTGTCTTAAAATTCGCGAATTAAAATAGCACAGTAAAAAAGTTTTTAAAAAATAAATTATAAAAGTATTTGCCGTTTGTTCGAAATGATTTTATACTTTTTAAAATATAAAAATGATAAAAGTTTAAAACTGGCTCCAATTATAGATTATGAATAACAGTATTTACTATCGACATGCAGCGATTTGCGGATAAATGATAATTTAATTGTAATCTTTAATTAGCCATATAATTTTTATGTTTATGTTTTAAAAACTGTTGCTCAGAATGACAAATATTCACAACAACAAATAAATATAAAGTACTAAAATATCTTACTAAGTATAATATAGAATTTTAATAAACCAGCTGTCTCAGCAAAACACGATTATATGAAAATTGCGGTTGGTTCTGTCCCCGAAATGATAAATTAATGTTTATTAAGCATTGCTAGAAAATTATGTCAATTTATAATAAGGAATTCTGCAAGCTCATGTAAAATTTTCAATTATATTCGCGTAAGCACCGTTATTCCAATTGTTATTTCGTTGTCATAAACGTATTCACGCGTTAGTGGTTTTTGCATACGTAGAGAATTTCATGTGGATTATTACGTTTATTTATTCGGTGGAGCTAGCTAGGTGACCTGCCATAAAACAATATTTATTTTACATTACACGCAATGTGTTTCCCAACAATTTTTTACAGTATTGTGTTTTGCGTGTGCAAATCTACTGTACATAAAAGGTCTAAACATGTGAGAAGTATACGTTATAATTATATAATAAATTCAATTATATAAATCAATTATATAATAAAACAAATTGGACTTTATTTTATGAAATATAAAAATATAAAAATATAAAATATAAAATATAAAAATATAAAAAATTGAGATACTTAAAAAATTAGTAATTATAATATACAGTCTACTTTATCAGTTATATTTTTATGATTCAAGATATATTAAAGATATAATGTTAAATAGAGAATTTTTTAAATTATAATATGATATAATAATGTGATATTTCTAATCATTGAAGTATCAAGAAATTGTTTATTATTGTTCCAATGTTTCTCAATGACTAACTAAAGTATTATTGTATACTTGAATATTATAGAAAAATGATAATATTTTAATGTGCATTGTAATTAAATATAATATCTATTATTATAAACTCTCTACAAGCAGAAATTTTTCAACCATTTTATAATGGACGAATCAGAATTTTCTGGTTAAATTTGTTAAAATTCTGATTGAGACAATATTTCTGGTAAAATCTATTAAAATTCTTATTTTTACCAAACTAATTATATCAGCCAGAATTCTATCAGTTATCTCAATTAGAATTCTAGTAGATTTATCCAGAAAATTTTGATTCCTTCATTTTCCACCAGAATTTTTCAGTATGTCCCAATTAACTTCGTAAAAAAATTCTCCCTTCGAGATTTGTCACGTTAAATTACTTTCTCACGAAATTTCGTTTCTGACAAATTGAGAGTTATTTCACGAGTAGGTTCATCACCGAAAGCATCTCGCATTTCATCCGTGTAAACTTCAGTTCGTCCCTCTTTCCTCATCGCGATATTGTGTGCTCGTCGAATCGCGAAGCCTTGTTTTGTCGTGTGATATCCGGAGTTTATTTTCGTGCCCTCTCATTCTGCCAAAATGAGGCACGCCGCGGAAATTAAACTCGAGAATAATGAGTTAATTTGAGCTCGCGATTAGTTACTCCACTCCTGCCCGAATGGACGCTCGACTAGAGTTTCGCGCGTGGAATTGCATCGAATTTTTCAACTGTAGTAAACGCTTGCGGCAGAAATGAAATGGAGCATGATATAATGATAAAGATTGTACATAATTAATCTTCTTTCCGAACTTAACTTTCTTTCAATTATACTAATATTAATAATTTATTCATTTACATACATTGTAACGTCTTCTTCAAAGTATGGAAATTTAAATATCTTATTATACTTTTTTTTTAAATATATACAAATTATCAATTTCCGCGAAAATAAAGTCATGAAAATTATTAAAAAAGAGAAAGGTAATGTAAATGTTTTCTTTTTATTTTATTTTATTTTCCAATAATAATGATCTGAATAATTTATAAGAAATGTATATAAGAATATTTAAGCAGAGAGAGAGAGAGAGAGAGAGAGAGAGAGAGAGAGAGAGAGAGAGAGAGAGAGAGATTCTATTATTCTATAACTCAAATAGTCTCGTTATTTAATGCAACAATTATTGAGTTTCCGATTACATAGATGTTTTGCAAGAATGTCAGAAAGTTAATACTAGAGTAACTAAGTGTCTTCCACTTCGCTATTGCTGAACACTTCGCTAAGCTGAACCCAAATCTACATGCGTAGAATATTTTGGCGCTATCTTCATTATTCTATGCCTGCTTACGTCAGCTACAAGAATGCGAATCTTCGTTGAAGAAGCCGCATGATTTGCGAAACTTGTCGACAACGTACATTCCGAAAATTCCGCCTCGCGAAATTTCGTTTCGCATAGACCTCCTTTCGTGCTCGTTGCGATCAGGAGTTAGAGAGAGATTGAGGAGGAAAGGTAACCACTATTACGGCACACGCAAGGAGTTAATTAGGTCCTGAAGTAATCCTTTGTTCCATTTTAATGG